CACAGAGACAACCAGCAGCAACTGAGAGCCTCCTGACAGAGACACCATACTGCTCTTTCTAAAGTAGCAAAGTGTTCTTGACAAAGAAGAGTTTTGTTTATACGTGAATGCGTTTATCTCAAAACTGCATCACATCAGCACTCTAGATCTAACGTCCACCAGCAGAGGCAGAGTGTAGGTAGGTGCACAGGCCTGATGACTCAGCTTTTCAACAAACTGCTAGTGGGAAAGGAGAGATGGGGATAAGCAACCAATTAGTCAATGGCCCCTTAGGAACACTATTGGAACAAATAATAAACCAACCACGAAAAATTACACGCGAGTATGTGTTTTTATACGGCTATAATATACACATAGCTATACACACACACACACACACACACACACACACACACACACACACACACACACATTCATAAATATGTCTCTACATGTATGTACTGTACCTGAGGTAAGTGGGGAAACATGAACTGCCACTACAGTGTCTGACATTGAGAAATAACTATTTTTTTAGATATGAGATTTTTTTTAAATAATTTTTTTCTGTTGAAATCTATTAAGATATGAATAGATGAATTAGCACCATACATATGATTTGTTTCAAAATCTGGAGGGGTAGGGATGGGTGGGAGGAGACTGAGTGATTGTGAGTTAAGACTAGGTGATGGGCCATTCCCTGTTTACAGGTAAGATCAAATTTTTCTATAATAAAGCTAAATGTATGAGCACAGATAACAAAAAATTAGGGAGCTAACATGAGAAAGATTCTGAAAACACGATCAGACAGACCACACGTTCCATCTCAGAGTCTATCACAGCTACTTGCGGGGCTTCTGCCACCTAAATCAACTCCAAACATTAAGCAATCTGTGTCATAGCCCGAAGGACTGCAGCAGTGGGGAGAAGCTGAGAACCACTGTGGAAACACCCCAAGGATAGGAACGTGCATCGTTCACATGGTGTTTACCCAGTGTTTAACATTTAAGGGGCTCTCAAGAAATAGTTGGTGAATGAATGGCCCAAGGTACATAATGGCAGCTAACTGCTACATGTGCAAAAACAGCAATTCATATTTGATATGGAAACCTCGGGGCTCACTGGGCTGAGAGGGCAGGGCCTTCTGTTTCAAGTAAAATAGGGTTTCCTTCATAAAGCCACACAGCAGTCAGTCTGAACAGCTACCAGGAAACACCCAGAATAAAAATAGTTTCATACCCACAAGTAGGTGTGGGTGTGGCCAGCAAACACTCCGATTCTACAATCTGTTTTGGCCAGGGCAGTGCTGCGTCAGTGACTAACAAAGCAAACGGCAGGCAGAGGCCATGGGCTGAAATAACGCAGTGTTTGCCAAAGGGCCGGCTGTCCAGTCTGCCCGTAAAACAGCGCACTTCTCAACTGGGGAACACAGGCTGAGACAGCCACATATAGTCACACACACCCCCAAAGAAGGCACACAAACACCCAGCACAAACCCCATTTTCCTTTTTCTCTAAACTTGAAATGGTTCTGACTCTATGGAGGCAGTAGGAGATTAGAAATCTCTTGGGACAAAGGTTTCGTTGTGTTGGTGAAAAACCAGATGGGTAGAAATGCTGAGGAAGAAGATCTGAAAAGATGAGGCATTCCCACAGCTGGACACACTGCATAAGGCCAGATATCTGAGTCTATGGCTGAGGACCACTCTGCTGAGCGTTCACAAGAGTGATACCTAACCAGACAGAGCATGGGTCTCAAGTCTGAGCACAAGTGTGGATGTGACCACACACACACACACTTACTGACCAGACAGAGCATGGGTCTCGAGCCTGAGCACAGGTGTGGATGTGACCACACACACACACACACACACACACACACACACACACACACACACACAGACCAGACAGAGCATGGGTCTCAAGCCTGAGTACAGGTGTGGATGTGACCATGCACACACAATTACTGACCAGATAGAGCATGAGTCTCAAGTCTGAGCACAAGTGTGGATGTGACCACACACACACACTTACTGACCAGATAGAGCATGGGTCTCAAGTCTGAGCACAGGTGTGGATGTGACCACACACACACACAATTACTGACCAGACAGAGCATGGGTCTCAAGCCTGAGCACAGGTGTGGATGTTACCACACACACACACTTACTGACCAGACAGAGCATGGGTCTCAAGTCTGAGCACAGGTGTGAATGTGACCATATACATACACACACACACTTACTGACCAGACAGAGCATGGGTCTCAAGCCTGAGCACAGGTGTGGATGTGACCATACCGAAGATGTGTTTCCACAGTCTTCCTCCTAGCACTGGGTTTCAGCATGTTACCTCCTAGTTCAGAATGGTCTCCACTGAGCATGTGCAGAGGAGGGTGACTTGATTTCTCATTTACCTTTTGTGGTTTCTCAGATGCAGCATAGTTCATATTACTGCAAAAGCTATTTTTATATGATTTCTAAATGATAAAATACACACTAGAATATCAACTCTCTAGTTCTCCTGATAATCTAGACTGATTTTAAAAAAAGCCATATTAAAAACTAGGTATGGTGTTACACTTCTGTATTCCCAGTGTATTTCCAGTGCTTGTGAGGTTGAGTCAGAGGGATTGTTGTGAGTTGAGAGGTACCTGGGCTATGCATAAGGATCAGGCTAGCTAGGGTTCTATACTAAGACCTCAACAAACAAAAGCAAAACTTCTAAAAAAGTAGTATTTTATAGGTACCTGAGCATTACATAGAAACGATAGAAATTATGATAATACAGTTTTTAAAAATATTATTATTTGTGTGTGTGTGTGTGTGTGTGTGTGTGTGTGTGTGTGTGTGTGCCTGAGTGTATGTATGTGCACCTCACACATGCAATGCCAGTAAAAGTCAGAAGTGGGGGTCAGATCCCAGGGAACTGAGTTAACAGGTGGTTGTGAGCTGCCATGTGGGTGCTGGGAACCAAACCCAGGTCTTCTGGAAGAGCAGCCAGAGCTCTTAACTGCTGAGCCGTCTTTCCAGTACCACAATGACATCGATTGTTAAATGTGGCAGTGAGCAAAACATTTAAAATTAAGAAGGGAGAGGAAGAATAAATTCTGCATTTGTCCTTCAACAACCGTACAAGGTTTTGCTCAAACACACACAGGAAAAGCCCTGTCAGAGGAAAGGGGCAAACTTATTCCATCTACTCACCAGTTAATACTCTACTCACCGATCAATCCTCAGCACATAATCCTCTGCCCTGATTCTAGCTAGATGCAGCAAACGATGGACTCATGCTGTGCACCAAATCTGCTCCAAGCTTGCTCACCTGTACAGCTAATCTGGCTCCGAACCCAAATGATGACATTAAACGGGATGCAGTTGGTCTCAACTCCTTGCTTACTTCTCAGGTTCCTGAAAACTGATGCTAAGTTCTTTAAGGTTGTGAAAGAGAAAACCAAGGGCCAGAACTGATGGAGATAATGTTTACTTCTCTGGGAGAAAAAGGTTACTAATCTGGCTGCTTCAAGATCCCTAGGAAACTGCATCATTAGCCAACCTTATTTTTAAAAAGCTGAGTCAGATGATCTTTTTCCTTCAAAATGAATAGAGCAATTTCATGTAAATAAACATATTGTAGGATTATCAAATTAACGGCCTTTCAACTATAAGGGAGAAGGAAAATTTAAGGAGGAAAATCTAAAGACACTTATTGACGTTTGTGTAGTTATGAATAAAGAATTTAAACTCTCCAGGGAAATTGAACAGCTAATTACCATTAAGTCCAAGATGTCTTGCACTTGTCTCAAAATTTAATAATATTTAAGAAGAAAATATCTGAAATATTTAATGCTATCGTTTCCCTGTATTAGCCTCTAAAAGCTTGCCCTAAAATCCTGAAATGCAAAACAGTCTACTTACATTTTCACCATTTCCCTTTAGTTTAAGCCCCTCTAATGAGCAAAAATTCGGGTCAGCTACTTTTATAAAACCTTTTTTTTTTTTCTAATAACTGAAAGATTACCATGATGATTTAAATCCATATTCTCCCTAAAATAACTCTCATATTTTCCTACCAAATATTTTCAATCAAATAACACAAGAATGTACTTTTTAAAAATAAAAAAGGGCAAATCATCATTCCATCATGAATCAACACTGGGGTCAGAACTCCTAAAGTGAAATACAGAAAAAAAAAATGGTGCACAGTTAAAGCTATTAATATATATTGAAGACAAAAAGTTTATTTTTCAAGAAAACAAACAAACAAACAAGGAGAAGAGGACCCAGCCTGACTTTGTATGCCTGCCCAATAGCACTCTCCTCCATAATTAGTGCTTACCACCCCTGAGGGGTGGAGCTTAAGCTCAGGGTAACCTCATTCAATAAGTGGGAAAAAAAACAGTATAAATACCCCAGGGCAGCTGTGCGAGGACATCATCCACTGCTCACCGGGCAGAGTAACCAGGAAAGCTGCCCATACATCTCCAGAAACTCCTAGCACCAGGTAAGTCTAGACCAAGGATCACTGGGAGACGTCCCTGTCAGGTGGCTTGGAAACATACTTCAGTCAATTATAGACATCTTTGTGTCTATGTGTGCATGATTTTAAAAGGTGGCTTTCTACCAAAAGGCACCCAGACAGGTTCGTTTGTAATTATCTACTTAAGATATGCTAATAAAAAGGACTGTACAAATTTGCCTTAATGTGAATTTCAATGTATCTTGAAAGTTCTAACTATTTCAGGTTAGTTATGTCAAAGATTCTGGATCATTTAATACAGTCATCTAGTAATGAGATTATTTGGTGGGGGTCATTTTATTTTTAGAGTATTATTTGAATGCAGTGTCTCAAAACTAGCAAGACATGTATATTCATTTAACAAAAGCTTTCCTGTTATTTTATGCAATATATTCAAAATGTAAAAGGCCAGTCATAAAAAAGAAATAACTATATAACAAATCAATCTGCAGAACATCACAAAAATAAAACATGTCAGGTATGGGGCTATGTATAATCACTCTCTTCTGTTTTGCAGAATCCGTCTGAAAATATGCTGCCACAAATAGCCTTTCTGCTGCTAACATCCTTGACCTCAGTCCATGGAGTGTTTTATGCCGAGCGATACCAAACTCCCACAGGCATAAAGGGCCCACTTGCCAACCACAAGACACAGTTCTTCATCCCATACTCCATAAAGAGTAAAGGTAAACTCAGCTGCACATTCTGCTCTTCTAACCAGAGGGCTAGTGTTTTCAAATATTAATGATGATCTCCTTAACAAAATACTTTACAGTCTGTTCTTCTATTTTAAATTCTTGGTCGGCTCAAGTTAATACAACAAACTGATGTGTGGAAGAGACAAGTCTTTATAGAAAGACAATATTCCTGGAGAGTTGGCAGAAGAGAAAGACACACCTGAGAAATATCAAAGGCTATGTATGGAACCAGCTTTGTCCCCCTTTCAAATGATGGTTTCATACAATTAACTAATTACCCAGAATCTAGAAATATGAATTCAATAAAATTAAGTTAGCTTAAACTAAAAACAACTTCATAGACTAGGAATTTTATGTATCTAATTACTTAAACGTTTACTTAAAAAACCCAAGCCTGCAGATATTAAAGAAAACTGGTATCAAATAAAATGAGACAGCCCTCAATAAACCTAATGGGCAAAGAAAGTAACAATTCTCATACTAACTTACTAACTGGACATCTGGATGTCCAGACATAACTAAGTGCTAAGTGCTGGCTGTGTGAGCTCAGAGTGCCAAGGGCTGCTGTGGAGTGTAAATGTGTCTACGTCTGCCGAGTGTGTACGTCTGGCTATTATACATCCATGCACTGCTTTCTCTTCTGCTTCTCTACTGGGATAGCCTGAGAAATGTGATCTTTCCTCTGGAATCTAACCTCACCTACTGGCTTTGTTACTATGAAGGAACTTGAGACAGTACATGTGAAATAACATGACATCGTCCAAGAAGGGCAACAATCAGGCCATATCTTTGCTAATTCTACCTAACAGATTTAGACACGATGACTACTGATAATACAAACTGTTTCCAAATTTCATTTTCCACAGTATTTTTCACTTTATTCATATAATTTGCCCTGCATAGAGCAAAGGCATGTGTTGTAATTTTTAAATGGTACAGTTTTAGAGAGAAACATTTTGAAAAAAAAAATCAAATGTTTAAGAATGTCTTTTTAAAAGAATTAAGCATTTCATGAAAGGCAGCTTAGTATTTAAAAAGTACGAGAGCTACAGTTGACTGTCTGATAACATATATAAGTTGAGGAAAAGATAAAAGCTAGGAGGAAGGAATAGAAGACAAAGTTACTCCACTTAAAGCAGCGAGTGTAGTTTGAAATGTCAGCAGGCAGAAACTGGTTTGGCACTTTGACCAAATTCAGACTGTTCAGTACAAAAAGTACTGGATTAAAAACAAACACCACTGTTAGAAGGTTAAACACGTCCCTGTCTTCCCACCCAAAACATACTGCTCTTCATCCTATTGTTCCTATAGAACGATGGAAATACCTTAACAGATACAATGCAGAGAAGCTCTATTTTAACTATTAAACCACCTTGGTCTCTTTCCGATAATGAACAGAAATCCCACCCACTGCCAGGCATCAGCGCCCTCTAACAAACACACACGCCTAACCCAGAGGGTTCCTATGTAGTCTCTGGGCAAATCTGCTCAGCACAGGCTGACGGAGAGAAGAGCTGAAGCTCAGTCAGTTGTGTAGTAGGGAGACTACTCCACCCACGGTGCAGCCTGCAGGCTCTTAGAACCTTCTCAGAAGGTAGATGCTGGTCCTGAGGGATGGTGCTCCCTAATCTGACTTTTCTAGACTACAAACTGATGGCTATCCCCCTAATACTACAGAAGCCAGACTCTTTCTTGCACTGAGAGGTTAGGATCCTAACAGCAACAGTCCAGGCTACAGAGATCATCACCCTGTCACTGGAGATCAAGTTTCCAACAGTGTCTGGTGCTATCCTTTCCAGTAATATGAGTTTGCCCCCTTTGTTTAACAGTACAACATATTTCCATGATCCATGACAATTTTTTTTTGTATAAAGATGAACCTGATAATTGGATGCCGAGGTAAATTCTGCATTTGAAAACTATGCTATTTTACTCCAAGCCATTACAAATCCCTTATTTACTTATCAGTTTTCTTTTGTGTGTGAAAGTGTATGCACACTATCATGGACGTACACCAAAGTTACTCTCAGGAGTCATCTTTGAGAATGTTAGTAACTACTGTTGGTTGACTGCTCTTTAAGGCCAAAGATCTAACAGGAGAGATTTTTTAAAAAATTAATGTACTTGCATACTAATAACTTACGGCTAAAGGGAATGATATTCTTAAAAATGTTATCAAAGATCATTTATAATTGTTAATAAATATCCCCTAGTCTCCATTTTGACTTTTCAAACCATTAAAGTCTTAAGAGTTTACCATATTAAAAGTTAGGTAAAAAGTGATAGATATATGATTAGGAGTTTAACTCAGTGGTAGAGCACTCATCTAGCACGAAGGTTCTGGTTTTGAGATCTAGGAACACACACACACACACACACACACACACACACACACACACACACACGATAAATAAGTAGATCACAGTTAAACATCATTTTTACAGTTTTGACCAATCTACTGTCACATCTGCTAAATCAGCATTACTACTATGAACTGCTTTTCAACAGTACAAAAATCTAAAGGTTTATAGGAACTTATATAAAATAACTTACATAAAAATTATACAAGTAAATATTTTAAAAAATCACCTGCCATTTTATTGTCGTCTTTAATAGTTACATTTAATTTCTCTGAAAAAAGAAAACACTTTGTGTGACATTTACAATAACTACTGGCAATAGGCACAAACAAGCATTGTCTTCATGGCATATGGTAGTGTCTACACTGCAGGCTAGATCCCACCACTCCGTGGGCTTCTTACAGTAACCATCACACTTTATCCCCGAGGCAGGTCTCATTCTGTGCTCCACCACCGTCTCTGGTTCTGTCATAGGCACTGAGTAAGGGGCTACTGAAGAATAGCACACCAGGAAAATGTTCTGGTTAAATGAATCCACAGCGTTATGAGATTAAGCCACTACATTTACTATATTTTGATCATCACTTTGAAACTATTCTATATGCCTTATCAATGCATTTTGTCTAGTCCTGCCATGCTTTGCTTCAATTTTAGGTCAGTAAAGGAGAACAAAAGCCCAAGTATATACTGAGTTTGACAAACAAAGAGTCTAGATCTAAGCTGTTCCGTAGGACACGCTGATCAGGTCTAAGCCTCTCCTGTCTCCCTCAGAGAATAACCTAAGTGAGGCTAGACTGCTTAGTTCTTCCTTTTCTTTCCTTACCTTCCTAACTAGATGATCTTCCTTTGACAAATGCCATCAACCCACCTCCATGCTACGTTTACCTTAGAGGGATTCCTCAATCCAGTTTATTTACATTGCCTCATTAGGATGAAAGAGGCATGGTAGCTGTGGTTTTGTGAAGCCACCTCCAACCCCATTGAAGTTGGTTGTGTGGAAGATTTTTCTAGGATGCAGGATTACCGCACTCTGCCCTCTGGTTGCGTTTAATGATGCTGATGTTGAATGGTATGTTGCTGTGTCTTACAGGAATCCCAGTAAGAGGAGAGCAAGGCATTCCTGGTCCACCAGGCCCACCTGGACCCCGAGGACACCCAGGTCCCTCAGGACCTCCAGGAAAGCCAGGCTATGGAAGCCCTGGGCTCCAAGGAGAGCCAGGGTTGCCAGGACCACCAGGAATATCAACCACTGGGAAGCCAGGCCTGCCAGGCCTGCCAGGCAAACCAGGGGAGAGAGGACCATATGGACACAAAGGAGACATTGGACCAGCTGGCTTACCAGGACCTCGGGGCCCTCCAGGACCACCCGGAATCCCTGGCCCAGCTGGGATCTCTGTGTCGGGAAAACCTGGACAGCAGGGACTTACAGGGGCCCCAGGACCCAGGGGCTTTCCTGGAGAAAAGGGGACACCAGGAGCCCCTGGTGCGAATGGACAGAAAGGGGAAACAGGATATGGTGCTCCTGGCCGTCCAGGTGAGAGGGGTCTTCCAGGCCCTCAGGGTCCCACAGGACCCCCTGGCCCTCCTGGGGTGGGAAGAAGAGGAGAGAATGGTTTTCCAGGGCAGCCGGGAACCAAAGGTGACCGGGGCTTCCCAGGTGAAAGGGGACCGTCAGGTCCACCGGGTCCCCAAGGGCCTCCTGGGAAACAAGGACGAGAAGGTGTTGGGAAGCCAGGAGCCACTGGAGCCCCAGGTCAGCCGGGCATCCCAGGAGAAAAAGGCCACCCAGGAGCTCCAGGAATAGCTGGGCCTCCAGGAGCTCCTGGCTTTGGAAAACCAGGCTTGCCAGGTTTGAGGGGACAAAGGGGACCTGCTGGTCTTCCTGGGGCCCCAGGTGCCAAAGGTGAACAAGGGCCAGCGGGTCATCCTGGGGAGGCAGGTCTGACTGGACCCCCTGGGAATATGGGACCCCAAGGACCTAAAGGAATCCCAGGGAACCATGGTATCCCAGGTGCTAAAGGAGAGGCAGGTCCAGCTGGGCCTGTAGGGTCACCTGGGGCTAGAGGAGCAAGGGGTCCCCCTGGGTTAGATGGAAAAACAGGGTACCCTGGGGAGCCAGGTCTCAATGGTGCTAAGGGTAACCCAGGGTTACCAGGTCCCAAAGGTGATCCTGGAGTGAGAGGACCCCCTGGTCTCCAAGGTCCTGTTGGCCCTGCAGGAGCTAAGGGACTGCCTGGACACAATGGTGAGGCAGGTCCCAGAGGTGAACCTGGAATTCCAGGTGGCAGAGGTCCCATTGGGCCACCAGGTACCCCAGGATTCCCTGGATCTAAGGGGGTCCCTGGAAACCCAGGTCCTCCTGGCCCAGCTGGCATAGCAACTAAAGGCCTCAGTGGACCCACTGGTCCTCCCGGCCCTCCTGGACCAAGAGGACACAGTGGAGAGCCTGGTCTCCCAGGTCCCCCGGGGCCCCCAGGCCCCCCCGGCCAAGGAGTCATGCCCGATGGTTTCACAAAGGCAGGCCAAAGGCCCAGGCTCCCTGGGACGCCGCTGGTCAGCGCTAACCATGGAGTAACAGGGATGCCTGTGTCTGCTTTTACTGCCATCCTTTCCAAAGCTTACCCAGCAGTGGGTGCCCCCATCCCATTTGATGAGATCTTGTCTAACAGGCAGCAGCATTATGACCCAAGGACTGGAATCTTTACCTGTAAGATCCCCGGGGTATACTATTTCTCCTATCACGTGCACGTGAAGGGGACGCACGTGTGGGTAGGCCTGTATAAGAACGGCACCCCCACAATGTACACATATGATGAGTACAGCAAAGGCTACCTAGATCAGGCTTCAGGGAGCGCAGTCATGGAGCTCACAGAAAACGACCAGGTGTGGCTCCAGCTACCCAATGCAGAGTCAAATGGTCTCTACTCCTCTGAATACGTCCACTCCTCCTTCTCAGGATTCCTAGTGGCTCCCATGTGAGCACTTAATACCAAGCTCATATAAATCCTCTGCTTGGAAAGGCTTTCCCCCCAGCGCCATTACGTCCACCCTGGAGATGCATATGGAGGTAGGCTAAAAAGTAATGTGAACAATTGAAATTTTCTAAAATGCACTCCGAGACCGAGTTTCCTCCTGGAAAAGTGAGCAGCAATGGTGACTATGTGAGGACTCTCCTGAGCACTCAGCAACCCCAAAGCCCATGTGGGTTTCTGTGAATTCCCCTTTTACATAATTTTTACCATAAGTTAAAAAAAAAAAACGAAAACCTCACAAAAACAGAAATAAGGTTCCAACTCACCATAAATTTCATTTCAGAAATGCAACATTTTTTAAAAGCCTGTTTTTAATAATTAATATGAGAACTTCTAAGAAACATGCAGGAAGTATCACATAATTTTATATTATTTGAATACTTGAATATTCAAATTTAAATGACACTGTATACCCTAGGATATTTCTGATGGTGCATCACTCTAAGGCTCATATAGCCTCTTTCATCAAGATAAATCCAAATGCACAGGTGCATGCACACTTTTTGAAGCTTGCATAAGAAACCAAACTAACGTATTAACAAGAATTTGAACTACATGGTGCTTTGCCACAAGTTTTTCGAGCTTTTCTGCAATTGTGGAAAGTCCACATACCTGGTGCAACTTGGAAACAGATGTCTGACCTAGTCTGCTGTCTGCCACACAGTGTGATCACTCTGATTTAATTCGGCTGCATCTCTGTAAAATGATTTTAGGGCCTTACAGAACATTAGCATGGGATGCTTTCCATTCCAGTGAAAGCATAATTAACATTGAAGGTTTCAAAATCAGACTAGAAATGAAAAGACATTATTTATTTATGCTCTGTACTGTATTTTTATATTACTGTTTAAAACTGTTGAGCTGTACCTCACTTATTCAAGCACGGAGTACTCAATCTACTTGTTATTATAAAGCAATAAAATGTCATGAATAGATCTTCCTTCTATGCTGAGTTTACTTCAAAGCAACAAACCACGCTTTTCCTTGGATAAAGCTAATGAGAAAATAATGAAGCAGAGGGTGACTTCACAGTTGTCATGGGTTTGTCCCTTTGTCAGGATGGGCACGGCACACACCATGTACTATGAATTAAAAAAAAAAAAAAAAAAAAAAAAAAGCCACTCTGAGCCAGGACCAAGGCTGATCAGTAGACACAGGGAAATAAACATATACCAACATCACTTTAAAACACTGTTTTGTCTTGGCGGGAGAGAAGAAGGTGTCAGAGAAATATCAAATTGGAACAAATATCCTGCAATTATTATTTATGGACTTAGCACATTTTAGTCATAATATTTAGAATTATTTTGATAGCTTGATTTACTGAAAGGAAGGCATGTAATCTTGGGGTGTCAATCAAAAGGCAACATATTTCAAAACTTAAAATCCTGCTGAATCCATCAGCCCACTTGTTAATCAAGCCAGTCTGACTCAGTCAGGGTAACATAAAGGCTATTGACACTTGGAGTAAGACTCTGTAAACCTGCAGAGGCGAGCAAAAAGCCCTAGCTTGGGGTTGGCAGTAACTCTGGCCCCAATCTGGGTCAGCCACTCCTGTTCCTTAAACCAAGAGAATGGAAATTCTACCAGCGGGTGCTTGGTCTCTCCGTCACTACTGCACCGAGGGTTACAGCTGTCACCAGCTCCCGTTCCTAAGCCACGACATAAGGACTGGGACCTTCATTTGAGGGAGCATCCTCCAGCCCAGGAGAGCTGCACTGGGAGCACGTGAAGGCAGAGGAACAGACCGGCTGAGACTCCGGACAGCTACAACCATAAAGCAGAATGAATACAGGTACCAGAACTAACTGTAAACATTTTTATCAGAGCAAATCCCAAGTGGGGAGCAGAGCAAGAGAGGGAGTGTCTATCAACTCAGCAGACACGGGGCGGGCGTTTAACAAACCTCTACCAGGAAAGCCCCTCCTCATGTTACTCACCCTTAAAGGCTGACATTTTAAAATTGTGTTGTATACCAGCAACTACATCCTTCCAAAAATCAAATGTTTTTTGACCTCTGTTCTGCTAAAAAAAGAAATTTCCAAATGTAACAAGTGCCATCATTCTGTTCCTAAGCAGAGTGGTAAGCTACAGCAAATAATTACGTCTATTGACTCTAAGGTAGGAGTTCAGGTTTCAGAGAACATGACAGATCAATACAGAAATGTTTCTCAAACATCACTGCTACAAGTCAACACATAAATAAATAAACATCACTAAGTATTAATGCAGTTCATGTAGCCCAAAGAAGGTAAAAATGTCCACTCATACAGCCTAAAGGTATAGAATCCTTAAACATATAAGAAATGTACCAAGTGCTCTAGCTTCTGAACTGGCTGAACGTGCTACTTCATACATGATGGTACCAGCAGGGCCCGAAGCAGGGTAGTTCAGAACTCACTGTCCATTAACCTGCACTTCACATGCAGAGCAGTAACTCACTGCAGGAGCAGGAGGAAGGTGCTAAGTCTGGAATGTCAATCATTTCATGGAGAACTTTCCAAGCTGGAAAGTTTTTTTTTTTTTTTTTTTTTTTGCACTCAACTACACAACTCTACAGCCCTTTGCTTCATAGAAACATCAACAGTGTCTACTTTCTATACAAAAAAGATTATCAGATATTTATATATAGTTACGCACACTACAAGATACTACAGGCTGATGAACTGGGGTAAAGTTCAGCAGTACAGCCCTTGCCTGGAAGTGGAAGGATCTGGATCTGATCTCCAGGTCTGGAGGGGAGGAGAAGACTTGATACTCCCCCCCCCCCATTGTTGTCAGTTAAGAGACAGACTCCACTTTGTGCTGATAAAAAGCGCAATGCTGGGGATCTACCTCAATGGTGATGTCCTTGCATACTCTAGGCCCCGGGTAAAATCCTCAGCACCCAAACCAAACCAAAAACCTCTCCTGCTCAATGGAAACTTTCATGAATGCATGACGGTAATTGTCATTTCAATAATAAGTCACTTATGCACTGAATTGTGGTTTTCAAATGCAATGGCTGCAAAAAGAAAAGTAATGCTGACACACAAACTGAGTTATAGTCATAGGTCCTAAGTTTAACTTGTCAAACTAGAGATTCATTTCATCTGAACAGTCACAAAGCAAATGATTAATTAAAAAAAAAAAAAAAAACTGCTTCGTTTTCCTGGTTTGATATTTAGAATACATAAACACATGGAATTTTTCTTAATTATCTGTATTTTTTTTTCTTGATCTGCTAATGAAAGCAAGAAAATATTTGTCCAGAGCCTGTCTTCTGTTCCCTTTCTCTAGACTTTCACACCCCCTACTGGGGAAGAGGGTGACTTTTGCCTAACCAAACATTTTTTTAAAGGGTACTGTTATTTACTTTTCCGAAACCATTTTTGACCAAATTCACCTTGTTTGCTTCCCTAGTCACCCTGAAACCACCGAAAGTTACACGTAATTAACGCCTCTTCCTTAGGACCAACTGCAGTGTTTTAAAACCGAGTGCCCGCTCACCTTTGTTAAAGAGTCCACCACCTTGGCACACAGGAGAGCCCCTGGCAGGTCGAAGTAGTTATCATAGAAGTAACACTTGCCTAAAACAAATAAACAGAAAAAAAAAAATCAATGCTTCCTGCTTGCGGAAAAGAGAAAAAACCTTGTCTGAAAAGCCTCCACTACAGGCTACCCTGTGTGCTGGGGGTGGGGCAAGATGTGTGAGTGTGTGCTGCGTGTCTGGAGTGGAGGCCAGGCGACAGCCGGTGTCATTCCTCAGGCACCAGCCACCACGTGTTTGTAAGACAGGGTCAGCACTGGCCTGGAACTTGTCACGTAGGCCAGGCTGACTGGCCAGAGGACACCAGGATTCCACGTGTTTCCACCTCCAAGCACTGGGATTACGAGTGTAGGTGGCACCATGCCAGGGTTTTTAAATGTGAGTTCTGGGGACTGAAGTTAGGTCTTCCCTATCCTTTTCCATTTTTTATTTTGGGGACGTTTTACTTGTGTCACACCTGTCCTTGAACAATGCAGCACACACTGGCACTGTCTGCCAGATATGGAGAGAACTGTCCATAGTAATTCCAGTGAAAAACCTATTTCAATTCAAATTAGCATTACTACAGGTTATCCTTTTTTCATATTTTAAAGGTTTATTTAATTTATTTTTTTCTTTTTATTGAGTGTGCCTGAGTGTTTAATCTGCATGTGTATATGCACTACATGGGTGCCTGGTGTCTGTGGAGGCCAGAACAGGGTGTCAGAGCCCCTGGAACTGGAGTTAGAGACCGTTGTAACCTGGCATGTGACGTGAACCAGGTCCTCGGCCAGAATAAGTGCTCTTAACTGCTGAGCCATCTCTCCAGTCCCCATCCTTATCTGTTGAGGAATGTTGATGCTCTACACTAAAAGAAAGCTGGAACAGAACATCTGTAAGTCAAGCATTTTATTAAAACATATTCCAGTTGCAAAATAATATATAACCCCAAGACAATATAATATCACTATAAAATGCAATATGAAGAAGCCACAATATGTCATTAATGTTACATTTCAAAACAGTTAAATAATCTGACATTAGAGTCCCATGAAATGTTCCCTAGAAGTTTCCCTAACACTTGTGCTGATGAATGCATAGAGAATACTGTATTCAATTTTTATGCCATTTTAGACAAACAGGAAAACTTGAGAACAGCCAGAGTAACAATAAGAATAAAAGTCATGTCATGTGAGTGAAGGTGGCCTGAGTCAGAAAATCTCAGGAGTATGGGCAAATACATTCCAGGGTCTCATGGGAGAAAAGGACGAAGGTTTATTCTGTCTGGTCTTGGGGTAAATTAAATCCAAGCCCTTCCTTGGGACATCTGTCACCTTTGGATTTCCATGTCCCGGGCCACATTTCTACTGGTCCCCGTCACATCTGACTCCAGCAGTGCTGCTGAGCAGCATCACACAAAAGACAGGGCAGAGTCACGTGCTTTCTCCCAAGGCCCTGGAGTCACGTGGCCCAGGTGGTCAAATCAACTAACAAGCAAGTGAAGTGGGCACCTCAACCTCCGTTCTCCCCAGAAATCTCAGGGAAATCTGGAGCTCACTGTTCCGTATTTATATAATATTTAACTTTACCAACCATATGCTCTAATTGTATTTTAATATAAGCATAGTCTAATTGCGTTATGGAACCATTGGACCTTTCCCCCTTCATCCTTCTCTACACTTATATAATTATAGTTGTGGGGTGAAAGAAGGCTCAGTGGTTAGGAACAAGCAGTGTTCATCCAGTAGACCGGAGCTTAGATCCCAGCATTCATGGTGGTTTCAACCAAACACCTGTAACTCCAGCTCCAGATCTGACATCCTCCTCTGTGTGCACTTAAACGTTTTATTTCTTAGACGAGACAGGCCTTCACTGTGTATCACAGTCGACAGATATCCCAGGCTCTGAACTCTGGATGGCAGCTCTGCTCCATGAACCAGGTAAGATGAGACCAATTCCAAAATCACCACCAAGATGCTTACAGGAGCTATCACTTCAAAGAAACAGTGCCCTCTGGTGGGAAAGCAGTGAAAATACAAGCCTGTCCTAATGGTACCAGCTCTTTCTCATAGCTAGGGACTATTTTATCTTAAAAAAAATATTCCAGATTTTGAATGAATTTCCAAGTGAAAGTGAAACACTTATCTATGTGCCTAGCTTTCCTTGGAAAAGGGAAGAACTTACTTAACAGGGCTTTTTTTTTTTTTTTTTTTTTTTGGTTTTTCGAGACAGAGTTTCTCTGTGTAGCTTTGCGCCTTTCCTGGAGCTCACTTGGTAGCCCAGGCTGGCCTCAAACTCACAGAGATCCGCCTGCCTCTGCCTCCCGAGTGCTGGGATTAAAGGCGTGCGCCACCAACGCCCGGCTTTAACAGGGCTTTTTGTCACTGGGAATTGAATGTATTACTTGACACATACTAGGCACACTCTACCAGTGAGCAATAATCCCAGCCCGAGACAGCAGTTCATTATCATTACTTGGGAAGAAAGCTTTCGACTGAGATGCACAAAAGCATCCTATACTGAACTCTAAGGTACTGTCTTTTTTTTTACACACTTATTTTGTCAAAAACACTCATATCTTCTAATACTTTCAACTCACCAGAAAGATTTAAACAAAACATCCCCAAAGAAGGCAAATATAACAGGGCAGCACAGTAGTAACAAATAAATGTTAACTATTTTCAGGTTATCACGTGTCTGAAAGGAAACAGGTGCATTTTAACACTACAGTGTGGTAGAAGGAACACAGGGTTAAGGCAGAGAGAACAGAGAAACAGCGTGATTTTAATGAGGACTTCCTGTCCATTAAAAAAAGATCTTACCCACACCAAATCAATCCAGGCATACCTGTTTGGAAGGAGTCTGAGGGAAGACCCACCTCAACTCCCATCTCCATTTCTTTCCCTAAACCCACCCCTTCAAAGCCCGCCAAACACAGCTCCTCCCCCAGAGAGGCTCAAGACCACTCCCACAGGGTGTATAAGGGGCATCCCCAAAAACAGACAGGTGGTTCTTCCGGTCTTGTCCCAGTCTCCTCTCCGTGGCTGCCAGGTCGGGGTGGGAGGTGGGGAATCACCTGGGAGCACTTTACCCATTAAACCTGGCTTTTCCTGACTCGGTTTACTGAGACAGTGGAGAGGCCTTCAGGAGGCCTAAGACTTATTAATACCTATGTCAGTAAATAATTTCTGGAATACTGCTTCACATTTTGCTTTAGCGAAGCTCTCTGTAGACTTGAGAAGAATGTGTGGAATCATTTTAAAATAAAAACCAGAGGCAGGAGACAGGGCTGTCAGTGAGGAAGCAGGGTCTAGGAAACAGGAGTGGCAGACAGTGGAAATAAGAAGACCTGGAAGACAGAAACTGAGGGTGGAACATGTAGCTGCCACACAAAGAACCCAGCCCAGCTAAGAGATATATGGTCTTCAGGGTAATCTTTACCCTCCAGAACAAACCCGGGTAAAAGGAGCTTCAATGGAACCTCTGTACAGCAGTGAAAACATGGGAAGCCCACCCTGAGCCCATGCCAGACCAAACCAGACACACTTAAAAAACACTATTGATGCTATAAAGCCAAGGCCATTCCTCTGGACACCTTGCTTGGCCAGAGGGACACAGGCTGTTCTTTGTGTCCTACCTGAGCAGCAGGGAATGTCGACGTTTGACGCAGCACAGTGCTTGTCTGTCGCACAGTGCCTCCAGTTCTTCTTGCCATAGGCCTCCGCCAGCGCCTCCGGAGTCATCATCCTGGTGCCGTGGCTGGCCCTGTTGGGGAGGACTGTGGTGCTCACTGGTAGCTCCTCGATTGCCTCTTTGATAACACTGAGAATCCCGATCCCCATCCCACTGGAGTTAACATAGCTTTGTTTTTCCCTTCTCTTGAGACAGGATCTTGTTCCACAGCCCAGGCTGGCCTCAAACTTGTGATCCTCCTGCCTCAGCCACCCGAGTGCTGCCCATGGGCCACCATGCCAACCACTGTCTTTCCTTTTGCATATTTGGTATTCACTGGGTTGATCTCATCTGGTCTGGGATTCTAGAAGCACTTTATGGTTATAGTACAGCACCAAGATACTAGGCACTTGAGATAGAAAAGACTTGCCTAAGTAACACAAGTAAGAGTAGGTGAGTTCAAAGATCATCGTCTGGATGCTCTGGGGTCTCCACCACAGCTGTGGCTCTTCCCCTTTTAGTCCACCCACTCGCAAGTGATGAGGAGCTGCCCTACGTGAGGCCATTGCTGCAGCAGCCTCTGCCCTTGCCTAGAGAAGCTGTGGAGTCATCAAAAGATGAGGCAAAGCTGGTGTTGCGGTACATGCTTGGAATGCCAGATCCAGAGGGCCACAAGTTCAAAGCCATCCTGGAAAACTTACGAGAGACCTTGTCTCAGACATAAAAGGAAAAGGAAAGCACTGGGGATGTGGATTGGTGGCAGGGAACTCGCCTAGCATGTGTGTGGGCCCTGGATTCTCTCCTCAATGGCACACACACAAAGCAAGAGAAAAATACAGTCAACTGGAACAATGAGGAGACAACCATGTAGACAGTGGGGAGGGTGACGTAGGCAGTGGTGAGGAACAGCAGGTTAGAAGATCCACATCAGGTCCCCAGGAGCCATGGGCACCTGGCACCAAGGGCTTGTGGGGATAAGAATGTTCAACCTACCACACAAGGCCACATACACTGGATCAAAAAACACACTGGAAGCACACAGGAATGTGCCAGACAGGATGAAGAAATAGCTAGAAATCTGCTTTTCTCTATTAGAGCCTTGTTATGGGACTCTCACCGTGCAGATAAGTGGATAGGTGATATTTTAAATAGCTCATTATGTTAACATACAGTGTATTTCATTTTGATGGGAAAATGAAGAAATGAAGGAAGAACAAAGAACACACGTGGAGTTCTTTTCTTTAGAGGCTGACCCTTCAGAATGCTATGTCAAGATGGAGAGATCCTAGGGAAACACATGAGCAGACCAGACTCCACTGTGTGGGATGAAAGAAGCCATCAAGGAGTGAAAGCTTGCAAGAGAAACTTCAGGTTTTTCAGAAATTGAATTCAGAGAGACAGAGACAAATTCAGACCGACAAGCAGACAGACAGACAGACAGACAGATGTTAACAACTAGAGAATGAGTGAAGACTGCCAAGAACACTACTAAGCTTACCACAGACTTAAAGGTAACGGATATAGTATTTACATATTGTATACAGATAAACACACTCCCTAGTTGCCTGAAAAAAACAGGCAAATAAATTACAAAAATAATAAGATATAAGGCCATACCTACTCCTTTTAGAAGTACCTTAGGGGAGAATCTGGGAGAAATATGAACGCGCCCTGATTACAGAGCAAGTGATGTATCATAAGTAGCAAGAGAGGGAGTATTTACAGGGGTCCTATAGTGAGTCTTCTTTGTCTCTGACCAACTGGGTATAAATAGTAACAGCACATCTGCACGGCCATGCTGGTGTGTCTACACTGTTAGCACGAGGTGGGAAATAGATCTTCACTCCACGGTGCTTGCCCAGAGACTCAGTAGTGACAGCAGCTACTGACTGTTTCCCATACCCTGATCAACCCCTGTGAGGCCTGCACGCACTCAGAGAGGTGGAACGGAAAGGAAACCAGGGCGTGGGGCTGATGAGGTCCACAAGGAGCATGCATAAGGGAAACAAGTATGGCCTGGCGGGGTATACACAGACCACGGCCTGACAGGGTATACCCAGACCATCAACCCCTACTCAGTAGCCATCTGTATCTTCTTTATCAAAGGATCTCTGATGCTATTCTAAGTACCTAATAAAAGAGGAACAGTAAAATATCCACGATCTTTAAAAAAAAAAAAAGAAAAAAGGGTAGGCAACGTCACAAGGCATGCCATTTCTATTGTATTTGCTGCAAATATTTCTAAGAAGTGAAAAGTAATTCAGAGCTACTACCCTCCATCTGATTGACTAAAATAATAACCTTATCTTGTAGCTTAAGGACAATACACTAGTCATAAAGTACCCTGGAAGGAGTAAGACTCTGACCACAATGACCTTGGATTACCTGAGCACAGTGCCATCGGCTGCAAGTTTGACGAAGGTGCCATCTTCCAGATCCAATGCCAAACCCTTGCAACTAAAATGGAAAAGTCTGATTATCAACCAGCTCATGCATTTAGTGTACCTCAGAGAAAAATCTGCACCATTAAATGTTACAATGTTAAAAGAGATTTCCTCCACACCTATACGAAGAACACGTTTATCAATGAGAAAGAACATTCAGGAACTATAAAATTGAGTATCACTTAAAAACAGGTACATAAGGAAAAGTGCCAGGAGGCACAGGGTGGTATGTTCAGCTCATAAAGTCTTTAGGCTTTTGCCAAAAAAGACACGACTCAAAAGAAAATATATTAAATGAAGATTATCCTGTACCTTGTTAAAATATAAAATGTTTTCCATTATCTAATACATGTGGGCAGGCGACATGGTGGGTAAAAGCTGACAACCCGAGTTCAATGCCCAGATCCATGGTGGAAGAGAGAACAGACTCCTGAAAGTTGACCCCAGACCTTCACACACGCATGCATGCATGCACACACACACACACACACACA